CCATTAGATACACGCGGTGGCGATAGGTCATGAAGCTCGCTCGCTACCTTGAATCGACGAGACATGTTTACGGCGTAACTTCTGTACGCATAATGGGCGTCATTAAGTTGCCATTAATAATTTTGTGATAAGTAACGTCTTCAGCCAGTATGGGCTCACGGCCGACCACCCGGCACGGCGCCCGCCACAAGCTTTGTCATTTATCACATGACTAATTCGTCATGATCGAGTCGTCTCCGAACTGTTTCGAAATTTTCCTGTCTTTTTCCGTATCTCAAAAAGGAGAAACCTAGCGGTATCGTCTATGTTGCAAAAAACGTACATATCAGAGAGACAATCTCAAGGGAATCAAAATTGATAGAAGACTTTCCATGAATGAATGAAGACAAACAATAAAAAAATTCAAGTAGATTCATCTTATTCTGCAAGTTCAGGAAAAATCTTAAAATTATAGATTTTAAACAATCATGGAGGCTACTTTTTTAGGGTTCCGTAGCCAAATGGCAAAAAACGGAACCCTTATAGATGCGTCATGTATGTCTGTCTGTCCGTCCGTATGTCACAACCACTTTTTTTAGAAACTATAAGAACTTTACTATTGAAGCTTGGTATGTAGATGTATTCTGTGAACCGCATTAAGATTTTCACACAAAAATAGAAAAAAAAACATAAATTTTGGGGTTACATACTTAGAACTGAAACTCTAAAATTTTTTTTTCATCTATGTGAGGTGTAGTAAGTCGGATAGGTCTTCAAAAACGATATTGAGGTTTCTAATATCTTTTTTTTTTCTAAACTAAATTGTTTGCACGAGGGACACTTCCAAAGTGTTAAAGTGTCCCCCCCCCCTGTAACTTCTAAAATAAGAGAATGATAAAACTAAAAAAATATACATATGATGTACATAACCATGCAAACCTACACCGAAAATTGGTTTGAACGAGATTTGGTAAGTAGTTTTTTTTAATATGTCATTAATCGTAAACCGCAATTTACCTTTCATTCAATCAACTCAAAATAAAAATTAAAAAAAACATTTATGATGTTACTTGCTGTTACGGAACGCTTCAAGGGCGAGTTCGATTCGCACTTGGCCGCTTTTTTATACTTTAAAACTTAACGAGATCACGGTACATAGTAGCACTCCAAACAAAAGAACGCAAAACTAAAAGCTTTCAGAATAAGGTTGTTGTTCTCAGGTTGTTACACAAATGCCAACATTTAAATCAACGACCTAAATCATATAATAAAATTATGAATAGCGAAAACATTCCAATATCTCATCATCCATTCATGATTTTAAATGCACACGATCGCCTATAAATTAGTCATAATAAAATCACAAACCCCGAGTTTTGTAATACAGCCTTCATCCGAATTAACTGAGTATTGCCTCTCAAATACATAAATCAATAGCGATCATCCGCTTTTGATTTTGCATGCAACCTCTTTTATTGGTGTAGGCAGGTACTTGTAAATTGTTTGTTCTCATCGTTTTGTATTAAAGTAAATATCAATATCGTAAAGTATCCGAGGGTTTCGGAGCATTGCGCAACTTTGTGGTAGGTACCCGAATAAAATTCAGTAGATACTTTTCGAAACAATCGCACATCCGTTTGTCTGTCACATGACAAGGTCTCAGATGATTGTCCGCCGTGTGAACATTAACTAACGCAATGCAATCTCGGCTCATTACTGTTATTTGTGCAATTCTCTGTAATTATTATTTGTTAAGTACTCTTGGGCGCAAAAAGTAATACTGCACGTTGATCGTAGTAAAATTTTACCAAAGATTTTTAATACTTCGGAAATTTATGATTTAATTTTGTGGGCTTCGTGTACATTGTTTTAACTCGACTACGTCAAAGCCAAAAAGGACGGGCTTAATTTTAGCAGTCTACTTTATATTCCACCGTAGCGGTTAAAATATTGAACTAATTTTGATGAATGAGGTGACAATCAATTCATTATTATGATTTATGGTCCAGTTATGTCAATAACTACTTACTTTACTGAATACTTTACCACAAATAAAAACAATTAAAATGGGCATGCATATTTTTGCAGTCGGGTTGGGTGGAATAATACTTATAGTCATAAAAGCGCTTGTTGAAAAAGTGCAAGGAAGAATTTATCAAATTCGTGTAAATTAATATTTCGCTACAAACAGTATTTTAAGGTAGGCATAACGAAGTCGTATTCGGATGGAGTGAACACTATCAGAAACCCGTGGTCATATTCGATTAGAGTGTAGTAAATAAAAATAGGCACATGCGACATGGTTTTTATAAATTGCTATTTATGTTAGGTCAACATAGGTTTCAGGCCGAATCGAACCAGCGACTTTCGCTATCTGGGCGAGTGCACTAACCGGTATGCTACCGAAACCTTAATGGACGTATCTTAGACTGCAAGGTAGCAGATTTTTTTCAAGTTACACTTTATTTAGACTTATAAATCCATCAGTTTATGGTGCATAAAATACAAAATATATTAAATAATCAAATTAACCTGTTAAAAATTCATCTTATCATTATCGTCTTATATCACTTCGACTTCCAGCGAACTGTTTGATATAAAAAGCGCATTCGACAGATCCTTGGCACAGTTCGAACAACGTGACCGTCGCAAATGACAATCGATCGTGCATCGGACAGCCGAAAGCTCATCGAATAACGGCGATAGGTGATGATTATAGGTAGGTTTTTAAGACACCAGATCGCGTGTTATGTTATTCTATAAGTATAGATTATTTTTATGAAAACACAATATTTTTACAGACGATTCGAGAACGACCTCCATTTTGAATTCGGCTAAAAAGGGTTACAAACAGGGACAAGGGTAGTAAGTGGGCCTATAAAAGCTTGTGATGTGACAGTATCACTCCCCCGTATGCCTAAACGGCGTATGAGACTCCCGAAAACCCAAATCAGCAACAGTAATAACACAACCTACTAAAAGTTATTTCACTGAGATCTGCTGCAATTTCGGTTAGCAATAAGGCTGCTTCGGGGCACAGGGGCGAATTTTAAAATCTGGCGCCCCGGCGCACATATGATTTACAATCCACTATATTTTCTTTTTTTTTTTAATTTTATTAATCAAAATATAGGTTGGTAATAACGAATGCCTTTATACATAGCTTCTGCCGCCCTAGGCCATGGCCCTTTTGGGTCTACAGTTAATACGCTCCTCGGTGGACACTCCAATTGGAGCTGAAATCTGCTGTGCCTTTACCTCTCTTAATATATAAGAATATTTGAGGATACTAGGAAATCATCCGGGTAGCGCGTCTATCTTAACGTGATTTGTAAGAGGCGTATATAAATTCGAAAAAAAAGCATAACTTGTATATATATTCGTTACATTTTTAATTTGTCCAAAGTTGTTCTGATTGAAACATATTAAGATTCAACATTATTTAAGTAATAAATTTTCCGCGAGCATTGGGTTCAAAGAACACAATGAAATAATATCAGCTGCAAACTTTCCCGCACAGAAGGCTTTTAACGTTGGCGCAGTATTGAATTTAATGAGGCGATGGACATGTGCTATCGCTATTGTTCCGAATATGTGAATCAACTCATCTAATTATAAATGTGGTTGGTTTCTTCGTAAATATTTGAACTTCCTTGGGTGATATTATAGTATAGTGTTTGTAGTAATGTATGAATGAAATTGTTTTCATTGCACTAGTTATTCAGAAAAACAAAAACACAGGAATGTAAACACTAATGACCGATTCCTAGTAAATATGCCATTTTGTTTCAATTACCACATACGCTATAGGTGCTTGGCACCTAAGGGACAACCAAGGAGGTTTATGCAAATGGCCTCCTTGACGCGTCGCTTGGACTGTGGCCAGCTGCGATAGCATACAATATGTCTGTTCAATAGTGTTAACTAACATTAAGCGAAGTAGTTTGGCTCTTAGCACAAGCGAGGCTCTTTGTATTGCGGTCATGTTTTAAGTGTTTTGTTATCGTCATAATTTGTCATGATCTTGTCTAATATTTATGTATTCTCATTTGTACTTACTCTCTATCATCATCATCTTTGGTGATCTGCTGATCGCGCAGGAGTGTAAATGATTGTGGGTGAAAATTATGTTTTTGCGGAGCCCGACGCCGGAGTCGTTCGCACGCAGCTCACACGCCCAAAGGTCTCTCGGAGTTACGTAACTGTACTTATATCGATTGCTTGCGACATTAGCCTGGCTGGCATGGCGTATTCAGCGTGGAGCGAACGTCAATGTCGCGGCCGTGGCTAGGTGGCCCGTACGCATGACCCGTATGAATTGTTAAATAGAAACTAGTGGAGTAAATGTACAAATTAAACCACATTAGAGGGTACGATTCGATATTGAAAGCACCTTTATAAAACAACACTAAGAAGATATTCGCAGTGAGTGTGTAGTCCTGGTACTCGACTCGACTGTACTGATGTTTAATGATATGTTAATAGTTGTTCTTAACATGTTTATTTGATTAAATAATCCTTAACGGGCTGATGTTCAATTATTAACTTAGGCTGGCGCTGTAGTACAAGTACTTGCTTAAATACAAACAATTGCGCTTAGGTATTACCTACTTATGCATCTGACATCATGTTTTTATGTTATCCTCCAAAACATGAATGCTAAGAATAGAATAGATTAGAAAAATCTACAATTTTGCGTTATTCTTTTGGTTGTTCTATATTCCAATTTATACTTAGTACCTACCAACAGCCAAATTAGAATTGGTGGTTTGCGAATTTTCTCTTCTAAAACAAAAAGTATTGTCCGTCTGGTCAAATATTTTTCTTCGCTGATTTAGTGGCAGATACATAGATAGTAGCTGATGATGGTTCGAGAGTGATACTTTAGTATCGCAAAGTGTTCCGGAAACCAAGATGGCCCCCTTACCAACCATAAATGTAACAGAGATTTCCCCAACCACCACCACCAACCACCAAGAAAAAAAAGGCAAATTAAAAGATAAATAATCTCTTTGCTCTAGGACCAAAGGAGTTCTTCTACCGAGGCCACAACTACTTCTACAGCGGGCACGTGCCCGAGCTGGCCAAACGCAAGGTAGACTGGCTGGATGGCCGCAACATCTGCCGCGAGTACTGCATGGACCTCGTCTCCATGGAGACGCAGGAGGAAAATAATCTCATCTTCAAGCTTATCCAACAAAGTAAGTAGGCCATCCATATAGTTCGCTTATTTCTACCACTTTCTCCTCAGGAAGCAGGGAAGTGGGTACAATGAGTTCAAAAAGTTGAGTTAGTTGATAATTCTACTGCCCGTTACTGCTACTGCTATCCGCTTTGCCGAAACTCTCCAAATGAGCAGGTTTTTGTATGGAACACAAGAACTGGCAGCATGAGTCAGCTTTGTCTGTTACTTCTTGCAGAGCTCCTGAGCGAATAGAAAATGCGCCATGTTTTATTATGATCTTCCATATGTGTCCTTTGAGAGAAGAAAACAATATCTAGAAATAAATTAACAGAAATTCGAAAAATAATATGAGATTTAAAAAACAAGACACAGTAACAATATAATAATTCAAACATACTTATTTCAGATGATGTGCCATACATTTGGACATCTGGACGTCTATGCGACTTCAAGGGATGCGAGTCCCGCAAAGATCTCGAGCCCAAGAACATCTTTGGTTGGTTCTGGTCTGCTAATAGAGAAAAGATATCGCCCACAAACCAGGTTAGTTCCTTAACTATTACTACAACTAAAACTTCATATAGATAAAAGAGAGATCGAGCCGTATTCCATCACACTGAAAATTGGTGTCTTTGGCAATCGGAGTCAATGTGCGTAAACACAAGAACTAGAGATACCTGATTTAGTTTCTCCACACGTCATTGGATAAGTTCTTTGCAAATAGTGACCTACCTTCAGAATAATGACAATCCTCTTCCCCATCATATTTTAACTAAACAACCAAAGGACATTGTTCAGCGTCCATACATAGTTAGCCTAAGAACCAACAATCATGAAATATTGTTTTCTAGGTTCGAAATCGTAAGTAAATGACTGTAAAAACAAAGATTATTGACGGACACTTCTGAGAACTTAAATTATTAGGAAAACTAAATGTTTTTTGAGGTTATGTTTAATATTCAATGAAACATAGGTTAACCTATGAACTTAGTATGAAGTGAATTAATATTAGAACTAATCATTTCATTTCATCAATCACTCATCATTTTATTTGGTGCGATTTTAAAGAATAACTATTTAATATAGGTAGGAATCATGAATAAAATAAAAACTGTAGTTTTGCTTCTTATTTATTGACTATTTTTCACATAATTGTATCATATTGTATATGGTATTTATTTGTATATCACATGTATATTGTGTAAATATGCAGCGTGAATGTGTATCAGGTGTTCTTGAATAATTTGGCAGTATGATCCTCTCAGGATGTTGTGACACAAGTTCACTAGCACTTGGTAATAAGGTCTGTGCTCTTTGGTAACATCGATGACCGAAATAGTTTAAATTAAAGGAAAAACAATCGTAAATAAACACACACAAACAACAGGTAATCCGAAACGAGAATGCACTTTCCTGTATATTATATTACTCTTTGGAATACACAAATGCCACAGATTACTACGAATGCAAACTGCCTGCTTGCACCACAACCACAGAGTATCGAGTTTTATGCCGGCCCTTTGCTTGACAACAGTTTGTCCTTGTCATGCTTAATAAGGAATGAAAAGGACAGACTGATGTCATGTTTTAAAATAACAAATACGAATAGTAAGTGAAGTGCCGGCATAAGAAAGAAAGAGTGTTTTGTTTGCAGCGCTGTCATAGATTATACACTTAAAATGGTATTTATTGTCTCAGATTATTTTTTATCTCTTTAATTTAGCTTACTTAACTGGAAGTGTCCGTCACAATCTAAATACTGATAATTATCCCAAAAAATATATTAAGAATTATCATAAATGCCAAATTGGTGTTGGTTCTTAGGCCAATTTTAACATTGTCCTTTACCATTTTCCAAACTATTTTTACAATAACTTTGGAGTTTTGTGCTTTATAATGTTAAGGGTGAAAATCGTAAAGTCAGTTATGTACTCATACTGTAATCCAACCGCTTTCAGATCCCCAACGGCTGGGGCTACAACCCGTGGTCGCAGACCGGTCACAAGAAGCAGCGTCAGCCCGACAACGCGGAGTTCGACATCAACGGCACCCACGAGTCGTGCTTGAGCGTGCTCAATAACGTCTACAGTGACGGCATCGCGTGGCACGACGTGGCCTGCTACCACGAGAAACCTATCGTCTGTGAGGATTCCGAGGAGCTACTCAACTACGTCGCGAGCACCAACCCCGGCATCCGCCTGTGATAGTTCTAATTACATAGATAGATACGAAACGACATCAGTACCTAACTTAACAAAACAGTAACAATGCATTTTTCTTATTGCAATCGTTTGAATCTTCTTTTCCACATTATCAACAGCGATGTCAATATTAATAGTATTTATCGTTTAGAGATCACGTAATGTTACCATGAATATGATTAAACTATTCTTATTACCAAACAGTGTTTAGATTATAAGAGTAAACTTATTATTTGAGCAGTATTTATTCAATTCACTTTCGTTCTAAAACTTGCCATAAAATTATCAATCAAAATTGCTAAAGACGCACTGCCTTCATTACTGTATTATCTGCCATCTAACTGCTGATAATCAATATGGGAAAGGTGCAACGCCCCTATTTATCGTTGTTGTAACCCAATTTTGGAGCAATACCCTTGGTTATGACGAGGCCATTGCTATCTCTCAAGGTCCCGAATTTTGATTCCTGGTAGAGTTGATTAGGTAAATGAACATTTTTAATTTGCCTCGCTTCTGAGAGTTTGTAATAACGGTAATTAACAGCTACACAGCCCGATCGCAATGTATGATATTTAGTCTAATTAAAATTACTGAACGAGATCATTCGTTGCTTCATGTCTCATCTTAACTGTCACAGGTATCTGGTAGATATTCGGTAGTTCCAAAATAGTATTTAAGCATTATGTAACGTATTTAGATAATATTTACCTAAGGGAAGAATTTCTACTTGTATATAAAATAAAATTAAAATACTAAAAATACTTAACTGTTTTATTTTTTAACCAAAACATTTTAACAAGGTTTGTTAGGTTAACATAAAATAAGAAACCCGTCATCTCTATAATAATACTTTGGGATTGTTCGAAAACTAATTCACGGGAAGAAAAACAAAATAATTATAAACAATCAACAAAATTATAACCAAGTAAGATCTAAGACAGTGTTTGCACGTTCACACCAAATACATTGCCGGAAGTTGTGTGTATGCTAGCGACAATACATTTGTTGATACACAACATAAAAACACGTGGTAGAGTTCAAAGAACATTCAGTGATAAAAATACACACCGACGCGGGCTTCTCCGTCGCCGCTCGAATTATTCTATAAACGACCAAAGAACGAACAAATTGTATTTGCGTGTATTACCGTGTTTGCATTGTGTTTTATATCACTTTTTATGGTTTTGCTTACTCTGAGGTCAAGGGTTCGAATCTCGATAGGGGCAAATGTCTGTATGATAAATGCTGGTTTTTATACCCCCGTCATGGCCGTGTATTATAAATTGTATCTACAAAAATATACCTGTGTATGTAAGATTTCAATTTAAAACTAGTGCCGTCATAAGCCTTAACAATGCTGAGCTAATTGGTGTTACAGTAATAATAGGGGAGCCCAAGAGGGGATTTGGGGATTTACTCGAGTGCGGCAGATTAATATATTATGGGAAGATACCTTACATCTAGTAGAGTACCTCTACCAAATCTGAGATCTCCATGTAGTGCCGCGCGCGTAGACCAGCCGATCAGAATAGTAAAAAAAACGATAGGCAGAAATACTCGAGCGCGTCAGATTAAGGTATGGTGGTTTAATTACATGCTGAAAAATGTGTATTTCAATAATCTGACGATTTGAGCGTGATGTAAGGGAGTGGGAGGGTTGCAAATTTGCAAAAAATCGATGTCTGGACATTCTCGAGCGTAGTTGATTTTTTTTAATTTAAAGGTTTATAATTCAAGGATCATGAAAAACATATAATATGCCGATTTGGACAAGCCGAAGTAACAATAATCGTTAATAAAGTGTTGCGCGTGCAGCTGCAGCGAAGCATGTATTTAATACTACGCGCCTCTCTCTATTTCGCTCTTTCTCTATCTTCCACTCTCTCGCACCGTCCCCACATCACTTTCTGCCTACCATTACGCTTTCACAGCTGATCATAGCGCTCGTGAACCTCGTGGTATTATATGTACAACGCTCGCGGTTTGTTTGTTTTATTTGAAATTTTGTGAGTTTGATATTTACTATCACGAAAATGAGTGACCATATTATAAAGTGTGTGTTTTGTGGACAAAATACATGTCAAAAGATTGTAAAATTTGCATCGGTACAATTGTAAAGCTTATCAGAGACTGAAATGTAACACATTTTTTTTGTATTTTATTATATTTACCTTTTTTTAAAATATCGAACATGTCCGTGAATACGTGAATAAAATTTTTCGCCAAAATTTTCGCACGAACCGCTGAAGCAAATGAGCTGAATTTTTTACAATGAGTGTATCTTGACCTAATTTAACCCTGATTAGAATTTCAGCTTATTTTATTTGCATGCTGTTCTTTATGAATTTTATTTATCACATTCAATGATTTGAAAAAAATTACGGAGAAACATTTCTTTAAACCGTCAGATTAAGAAAATTTCTCCGAATATTCGTCAAATTATGGATCAGCATGAACAGGGCATCAATCGGAACCGCCTGTATGAACATCTGACGCGCTCGAGTATTTCCAGATGGCGACTTTTTTTGTATTTTCAAAAAGCCGTCACGAGCTTGCGTCGCGTCCGAATCGTCAGACTTTTGGATCTGAGCTTCGTTTAGGCTCACTCACTTAACATCCCCTCTGGATATCTGACGCGTTCAAGTAAAATTTTTTTTTCGCCATTTTCAATCCATCCGTACGGCTAGTCCCACCATGCAAACCGGCAGATTAACATTTTTCGGTCATCAGAGACACAAGGGGCATATACAAAATCAATATCTGACGCTAACTACTAGAGTATTTCCATGTGACTATTTTTTTTTACATTTTCCAAAGCTTCTAGACGCTTACGTTCCACCGGTGAAAGGGTATGCATCATATTTGACCTTTTTTTCTTTCTACCATCTGATCTTCAAAATTCAGTAGGTCTCCACGACGCTCGAGTAAATCCCCATTTAGCATCGTGGCCTCCCCTACTATAAGAAATATTTATATTTGTTTAATGTGCACTTTGTGTTGGTCCTTATTTCGTTAACACGTTTCTGTCTCAAAACACCATTAATTCGTTGTTTCATTTCAATTGCACATTTTATTATTTAATCTATATTATTAAGAATCAGACTTCTAAAATAAGCATTGACATAATAAACCTTACATGCTGCTATTATTATGATAATTAGACTTTTTATAGTTTAAAGCCACATACATATTTAACTGTCGTGAGTGTCGTGACGCGTCAGGGAGCTATCGGTTTCATACATTTAGTACGGTAAGAGTGACTGCGCTGTCGACACATCGCGACACACAAGTGTAATTTTAACCGTACTAAATGTATGAAACCGACATCTCTCTGACGCGTCACGACACAACACGACTGATAAATTTGAGGATTAAGTAATAGCTAGTGACTATAACAATGTCATAATATATCGATACTCATAGATATATTATTAGTTATAGTCCGGGAGGCAGCAACACTTTTGATATGGCAAGTAAACGGAACGGCAGTCTACCGCGCCAACATGGGGGGCAAACATAATTTAACATTAATAACAAAAATAACATTAATAATAAAAATAAACTTCTTTTATACTGAAAAAAAATATTTCTGTCTTCTAGAAATAAGTAAAAAAAAGTTTATTTCTGTGCACCTTGCGTGGGTGGTAGACCTACTATCATTATACTGCTTTTTACGGTTCCGTAGCCAAATGGCAAAAACGGAACCCTTATATATTCGTCCGTCCGTATATCACAGCTACCTTTTTTCCGAAACTATAAGAACTATACTGTTGAAACTTGGTAAGTAGATGTATTCTGTGAAACCCATACGTGTGCAGTATCTGTCTTCAAAACTGATATTGAGGTTTCTATATTTTTTTTCTAAACTGTATAGTTTACGCGAGAGACACTGTAACATGATAAAAAAATATGATTTACATTACCATGCAAACTCTCACCGAAAATTAGTTTGAACAAGATCAAGTAGTTTTTTTTAATACGTCATAAATTGTATCGCTATTTACCTTTCATTCAATCATTTAAAAATAAACGTTTAATTTCATAAATATAAACATTATGCATAAACCGTGAACCATTATTTTCTAATAATAAATCTGTAAATAATAATTATAATTAGCGCGGGGCGTGGCTTGATCGGTAGCGGGTGCAGAGCGCGCCCCAGGGCAGGTTTTATATTATATTACTTGCTGGTACGTAACCCTTCATGGGAGAGTCCGACTCGCACTTGGCCGCTGTTTTAAGGCATCCTTGACCACTCTACAGTTTTATACATGTAGGAATAATTTCATATTTATTTATTTATTCACAGATTTCAAAAATTGTTATTAATTAATTAGACGACCTCCGTGGCCGAGTGGTTTGTTCGCCGGGTCTCATGGTGTCGCCGACTCGAGAGGTCCCGGGTTCAAATCCCGGTGGGGGCATATGTTTGTGTGATGAATACGAGCATTTGTACTCCAGTCATGGATGTTTAATATGTATTTCTATAAAAATGTACTTATATATGTACAGTATATGCATTCTATCCGTTACCCTAGTATCCCATAACACAAGCCTTATAGTGCTTACTTTGGGGCTAGGCTAATTGGTGTGAGTGTTGGAAATATAAAAAAAAATGTTTGCCCCCATATTGGCGCGGTAGACTGCCGTTCCGTTTACTTGCCACATCAAAACTACAAAAAGATACAAAATCTGCTTTGTAGGAAACGAAACATCAAACGTGTTACTGCCTGCCGGACTATTAGTATTCTATGTCGATACTGTATGAGACATCAAAATAACAGAATTACAAGTGAAAATCTAGGAATATTATTAAACAAGCAACTTCCTCTAATTATGTAACTGCTAGCAGCAAACTAAAATATAAATTGACATACTTTTACTAATTAATGAAAATCATTCAAAACAATAATTGGAGCTCTCTTTTGGGGGAAGTCTATATGAAGCCCTCCCCACAGACTTCCGATCATGATCTTTATACTGCTCACATATATTCAAGTCCCTGATTTTATTAGTCAATACATGTAACACATTATATTTTCTTTCGCCGATTGTGATATAAGTGTTGGAATACATCTCGACCTCGGCTGCTGTGAGCTTGTAGATGTCCCTGTGCTTTGTTTTCTTCGTGCCATATTCCACAACAGTGCTGCCATCTAC